TCTCTCCCTTTTTTTTTTCTCCGTGTAACTTACCAACTTTTTCTCTCTTTTTGCATTTTTTTCTCCTAGTTGGTGTCTTCCTTTGGTTTTTCCCTCACATAGTTGGTTGCATACTCTTTTTTTAGATTTTGATTTTCTTTCGCTTCCATTTTTTTCTCTTACTAATTTTTATTTCTCCTTGTAACACTCCAACAACAACCCATCTGTTTCTTTTTTTTTTCTTTATACACTTTTTTTTCTCTTGGTTGGTGTCTTTCTTTGGTTTTCCCCCCCACAAAGTGGGATGCATACCCTCTTTAGATTTTGATTTTTGTTTCGCTTCCATTCTTTTCTCTCATATAATTAAAAGAAATTAAGATTCATATTTTTTATTGTCCAACAAAATTCGAAGGTCTATAAAAATCATAATCTTTTCCTAACTGATCCTTCTCGTTACGATGTTATTTCAGTGTCATTCTTGGACTTCAAGACTCCTCATAGACATAGTTTTCTTTAGTAGAAGATCACTTTGTAAAATGACTGAAGAAAGATGCCTGAGGTTAAATGAAGCCGTATGGTTTCTTTTCTATAATGGTCTTTTCCGAATGTCATAATTACATTTATATTACAATTTTTTTAGAATTTCATAAGTACAAACACTTTGTCAAATAATTTACAAAATGAATCTTATCTTTTATAATAAAACCTTCGTAATGCTCCGAAGAGCGAGGGAAGTGCTCCGATGAAAAATGACTATGAGGTTATATTGCCTTGGAGAGACTGCCTCCCCTATCATCAAAATAACAAAATAATAATGGCTGTTAAATAATTTCATTTGAAAAAAAAAAGATTCTATTTATGTTTTTCAATTTTTAAACATAAGAAATTAAATAGTTGCAATCATATATCTATTGAATATAGGATATTGCATCAATGCTAAAGACTCTTCATAATATTTTTTTTTTTTGAAAATCTAGTTTAGTAAGAGAATGTTGAATTATTAAATTAAACATTACAATTAGATAGGAGATGATTTAAAAGTTTTAGCTAAGATAAAAAAAATCTTATTTTAATTGAAGTCAATATTAATATTGAGTTCAACCTTTATGAATATATGACATTGAAAAGAAGAAGGGAGGTGAGATGAATAAAGGCTGAGAGATTTCGGAGTATCAAAGATTTTAAATGTTTGATAAATTTTTTGGTTTTAAGTGTCTCTTTTATATATATTTTTTTAATCATTCTTATCTACGATTTGGTGATGTCTATCATCTTTGTGAGATAATTTAGTAGAAGCATGAGAGGCATTGGGGAAATCAAGTTTGTCAAAGGACGACAACCATGCAAACAATTGCACATGATCGATCCTTCATTTACTTTGGCCGGGAGGATTTTTTATGGGAATTAACTACCATAAGAGAACACATGAAATGGAAAGCTAATATAAGCATATGATCAGTCGAAACGTATCAAACTGCATCTTTATTTGTTTTATTCATGATCACAGCCACCCTAACGACGACGACGACGGTAACAATTCACGACGTCCAAGTAGCTAACAGCAAGCCTCGATCATTTATTGAAGCACCCCAACGTAGATTAGCTGCAGCAGCAGCAGCAGCAGAACTCGAGGAGGTCTAGTTAGGTGCGAGGTAAACTCCTATGGCATCAATCATGGTGCCCGCACGTCCAAAGAAGCCAATGATCTTACCCGAGGCTACAGGAACGGAGAAAGGTTTTCCGCCACTGGTGCCGAAAGGTCCATAGCTTTTTTTGTTGGTCCTCAGCGTCAGGTTCCTCACCAGAGTGATTCTCCCCAGCGTATCCACAGACCCCTCGACGCCCACAAGATACTCGTCCTCTTGCAGAGGAATCTGAACAACGAGACTTTCTGTCATCGAGGTACAACCAATCGATGGTGTTAATTAGGAGGAAGATGACGAGGAGGACGAACCTCGTAGGGTGTGCCCCCGGAGCCACCGAAGTGCTTGGTCTCGGTCAGTCCATAACGGGTGAAGGTGATCACGATGGCGTCGATGTTGTCTCCGGCGCGAATCTTGATGTTGGTGATGCGGTAGGCAGCCCCCATGTCCCATTCAGACCCTCCGTTGCCACCCCACAGCCCCACCTTGATCTCTCCCGCCTGCACGCATGCACGACACCATCACGTTATATACCATGCATCGGAACCTTACGACACAACTTGCAAAGCAGGAAATGGATAAAGAGAAAGAACCATTTGCAGATATGGATGTGTGTGCACAAGAAGAAGAGGAAGAAGATGATGCACGCCCTTCCTCTGGGAAGGGATGGGGGGTATTTATAGCTACTTCTTCACCTACGCCCCCGGGAAAGACGTGCCCACTAAGTCTTGCATGGGTGGGCCCATAACCATGTTCCTCAAATAAAACGTTAAACATGTACATACGTAAACGTGAAACTCGTGGTCGTGATATATACGTACTTCGGGTTATGGATATAGGTGGAAGGATATTTATGGCTCAGAAAACATGTTCCCACACTTAATCAAAGATAAATCCATTAAACATTGACTTGATGGGATTCCGCAAGTAAGGTTGTTAATGTAAGTGAAAAATAAATCCATTAAACATTGACTTGATGGGATTCTGCATGTGAGGTTGTTAATATAAAGATGCTCAGCTTTGGTCAGCTTAAGGAAAATATTTACAATGTACAGGGCACATCATTGATATTTATTAATTTGCTGGAATGAAAGGTTTTGCCTTGATGAACCTCCTTATTTAACAGGGCACATCAATGCTGTATACATACTGGCTGTTGCAAATTAATTGCTGAAATGTATATCAAGTTATATGCATTTCTAGACTTACCAGAAGGCAATTCCTGTGTCATTGAGATGTTTCTGATTCAACCATCAATTACATTAAAAGCTACACATAATTAGATCACTTAAAAAGATATAGAGATGATGTCTCCACTGTTACATGCTCACTATCAGATGATTCTTGTCCTGAGTGTTTTATTTGTCTGTCTGTCTATTTGTCAAGATCAAGCAATGACCAAAGAGTGAATAGCTAAACTCAGCGTATAATGATCAAGCACTGATAACATATATCAAGGATTCTTCACCAACAGCTAAACTCAACCGGTCATCTTAAATGGATGTATAGGTTTTCAGCTCAGGATATACAGCTTGAGCTCTATCACCATCAAACTTTACGAGTCCAAGATGCTGAAATCACTGTTGCCAAAACAGTCTTAGCCCAGGCTGCTGTTGGTGTGTAATTAAAATTCTGAAAGTCTGAACCAGGAAAGCTGATCATATCAACTAAATTCTGAAAGGCCACACCCACATACAGGCATATGGCAATACAATCATCACACAATTCTTCCAAGCAACAAAGGTTCAGCTTCTTATATGTGTTTCTCTCATGTGGATGTGTCGAGCATATGTAATCCAATGTATTGTATCATGGAAAATGGCTTGCATGCAACACTTGTACTGCATCAAGAAAGATATTCATGTATCAGCTGCTGATAAAAGGCTTGCCTGGCAACGACTCTCCACTGGAAAATGAATTTTCATGTGACTGTCGG